AGAAAGAAAGAAAGAAAGAAAGGGAATAACAAGTTTAGATAGATAGATAGATAGATAGATAGATAGATAGATAGATATGAAGAGATTGAGATAGATAGATAGATAGATAGATAGATAGATAGATAGATAGATATGAAGAGATTGAGATAGATAGATAGATAGATATGAAGAGATTGAGATAGATAGATAGATAGATAGATAGATAGATAGATAGATAGATAGATAGATAGATAGAAAAAATAAGGAAATAAATGGGTGGCTATTTATGTCTACTTCTCCTACGCTGTCTACTTCATTTGTTTTTTGGGTTTTTTTCGGCTTTGCCTCTCTCTCTCTCTCTCTCTCTCTCTCTCTCTCTCTGTCCTCTGCTCTTATATCTCTATTTATCTCACCATTTCTACTTATTTACTCAGGTTTTTCACGTGTGTGTGTGTGTGTGTGTGTGATATCAAATGTCGCCAGAGAGTTTAAGAAAGGTAAGCGGCTAAAAATTTCAAACGAAAAGAAAAAAAAAACCGATGCAAAAAAAAAGAAAAAAAGGAAATCTCTCAGCAACGAAGCTTGTAATCGTCACTGAGAAATATAAACGATGCACAATGGCGAACGGAAGTTGTGAATCGATGCCGGCCAGCGTAAATATCAGAAATTACAAGCAAATCGGCGTACTTGCTACCACTTGTTCCCCACGGGAACCATTCATTATTGGTGTGAACGGTCAATGAGTACAAATAATAATGAAAAATCTTGACAACTACAACACAATGAGAAAGAAAAACATCTTTCGTTGTCCTAAGGAAAATTCATATTTACAAATTAATATAACAATGTCTTATTTGTAATAATACGGCATGGCCTGATATGTACTTCGTTAAATTTTGATCTGAAAGTTTCACTGTAATTTGCTCATTGTCTGGGACTAATAAAGAAAAGTATTTTTTTATACTGAGATTCATCCAATATAAGGCTCGGGAGCCAATCAAGTAGGTTCGTGTTGAAATGATTATGATGAATGGAGTGTGTGATAGGAATGAAAGAAGAGTGGGTAGGAAGTGAGGATCATTCGAATAAGGAACATAGATAACAATTGTCCCCTAGGTTAAAATCGTCGCGTTCAGAGAAGAATCCACACGGAAGTCTGTTCAACAATGCCACAGTTCTTACGGGAAAGATCAGTGGAACATTCTTTCTTACACTGAGTTAAGTGAAACGACAGGGGAGAAAATTATGTTGAAAAATATTTATTGGATAAAATAAGTGTATTTTCAGCCATTAGAATTACCGCTGTACCCATGAATATCATGATCTTTTATAAATTTACGCCAGGACAATTTTTTTCCGTGTATATCCATCTTACATCAGAAGAACAAACAGGCCGCCTTGTTATCACATGACAAAGGTTCACCAGCTTTCTATATATATATATATATATATATATATATTACTATCAAATGGAGTTTACAACATTAGCGGTAATATTTAATTTCCATAATTTTAAAAGCAGATTTTAATAAATATTTCAACTGTGTTATTTATTTTTAATTTAAATTTAAAACTTGCCATATATAAATAATGTTTCTGTTGATAAAGATTTAATTCTAAATTCATCGTGTTTTTATAGAAAGTATTTATATATACCTTGTCAAAATTTAGTCGTAAGTTAGAAAACCTACAGCATTCATAAAAAGCATTGTTGTCGTCTGCTATGTCACATAGTTGAATGGAACGGGAAAGAATATACGGGATTATCCAAATCTTTTTAATTAGATTTCCTTAAATCTTTACTGCATTATTTAAACAAGTAAAAAAAAATAGTAAGTTTGCTGAATTAATCAATTAATTAATTAATAATAATAAATTATTATTTACACTATTTACATGCGGATTATTGTTCTCATCTTTGTTGTTATTAAAACGTTTCAGCCGTTCTACACTCCGGTCTTCATCAGGTGTCTGTCGATCAGGGTAACCTACAAGGCATTTCGAATTGAACACTTTATTTAATCTACGGGACCAGATTGTTCTCATTTCACTGCTCATGTCTAGGCATATCACGTCTAGTTCTTTTTTTTAGTACTGCTCAGTTATTGTTTGCCCCGTTTAATCTATATCATAAAATTCTGTGACTTCTGTTAGTCCGTCCGCCCGTCACACCCTATAAAATAGCCATATATTGACCGATCGAAACCAAATTAAGGAGAAGTGCAAACAGGTACAAAGCACAGTTTGCTTTACTTGAACAAAACGTAGAATTTGTAAAAATGATAGCGATAATTTCAACAATATTAAATATTATGAGAATTGCAACACGTGTCACTGTGCTGCAAAAATTTCTAGTCATAACTATTAGAAAATTATTATAATGTTTCTCTCATAGTTTTATGCAGTGAATATTAACTGCATTTTTACATCAACTGGTATCTATTGGACGTTACTGCGATGTGGTAATAGACAATCTCCAAAAATGTTCAAAATATTTATTTGCTTATTGAATATAAAGTATAGCGCAAGGCAGAGAAAATGCAGAGCACTGGTTTTTACTGTTTTATCTTTTAAACTAACTAGTCACAATCCATGATAAGAATACGGTGGACCAAACATGTGAGCACCGATGAAGCTTTATAGAAAATTAAAACAAAAAGGACACTCATACTTAGCACCAGAAAGAGACAGTTGAAATATCTAGGGCGCATAATGAGGAAAGAGGGCATTGATACTCACAGGATATATTGAACTCAAGAAGGACATGGGAAAACAGCGGATAATCTACCTAACGAGCTTGTGTATATGGTTGGCAGAACAGAGATTAGAAGGGATAGCAAAAAGATTAACATTACTAAGGGCTACAAAGAACAGGAAGTTGTGGATAGCCGTGATCGCCCACGTCCTGAAGGGAAACGCTACATAGAAAAAGTCACAATCACTGACCAAATCGCACAAATATTTTCCCAGTCACCAAAATATTACATTTGCACTCATCAGAGGTACTGCTAGCGTCATAATGCCACGATTTTTCTATGAAATCCTAACAAGTCCCAGATGTACTCTTTTTTTAAGTTGTAATGGTAACGCTTAAAATTTTTGCCCAATAAATATCTATAGAACCGGTTTTGGTTCTGTAAATAATTTTATTGATGGAGAAATCAAGGAAAAATAATGTTAGCGTGCTTTAAATTTACAATATTTTCTATTGTCGCCGACTTTATTAATGCTGTGGTTGGCATCGTATCACTCGTTGTCCACACAATGATTAATCCTTCTTTTGTGTTTGCTGTTGTGATCACAGCTGCCACTGCGAAATCGCTAAACAGATGCACTTACATAAACTTCATCCGGCAACAAGGCTTCAGATCGGGAGATCGGAGGTTATCGAGGCTATGGAACTAACTCTTAATTGTGGGGACACCTGTGCTTCTAAATGAAATGCTTACCGTAGAATTATGGCTACTCCTCTGTGAGAAATAAAAGGGGAGGTCGTAATAAAAGCGGTGGATCAGAAAATATAATAGACGGACTGGAGTTAATAAACAAGGTATCTTAATGGTGTAAGGAAATGTCCCACACCCCTTATGGCCTATGAGGACTGACTATATCAGTAGGTGTATATAGTAAGCACAGAATATACCTGGGGACTTGCTTCGGGAATTAGTTGGAGATTCGTCTCCAGCTGTGCTGGTCATACTTTCTGCCTCCGGGCAGAGAGGATCCCCAGACGAGGCTATGTCGAAGAGCAGAGTCTCGGGAAACAGCTACCCGATCCCGTTTTATACGGGGAAATTTTGGCCGAGCCTACGGGCTCGGATACACCCCGTTAAATTCGACCTTGTGCCACATCTGACCGCGTAGGGCGGTTGGCAGATATCCTTGCTTCAGGAATTAGTAGCCTGCCACTCGTTTCTCTGTCTTTCAGGAGTGTATTCTCTTTTACAATATACCTCTTTCCTTTCATCTACGCGCGTGTTACTGTTCCTTCATTCGAGTACCACCTTTGTCTGTTTTTAAATTCTTTAAGGATACAACACGTAAACATGGGAATATCTGGTAAACGTGAGGGTTGCAATGAATGGGTTATTTGGAAAACGATTACAAATAAGTCTGTCAAACTCCGAAATAATAAAATTAATTGATTGATTCGTTTTCTACAGCTTATCAAACATTTGTAGGTTATTTAAAAAGCCAGAATGTATTTTACGTTGTTGAATATATATAATATATATATATATATATATATATATATATATATATATATATATATATATTAATGATTTGGAGATACAAATCTTAATAATTAGCTGGGGAAAAGGGCGTTATTAAACTTTCGACCCCTCCCCCGCTGTTTCCTGTTATTCAGCAGTTCTGTTTGTTATTGTTAATTATAATATTTAAATTTAAATTAAAATATAAACCTCGAGAAACAAAATCAATCTTTGTAAAATGTAAAAAATACCTTCAATTTTGTCAGGTAAACTTAAATTCACCTGTTAATTAGTACCAAATTCGAGAAAATCACCAACTTATTAACTTAAACTAAAATTGTTGAAGTGTAGATATGTTTAAGCATTATTCATTGCATTTATTTGCATCAAATATGGAGAGGAAATTAGACACAAGGCCAGTTAAATGCGAGACCAACAGATGTATGCCATATGATGTAGCGGCCAAAATAATCTATTGTATGAGGCCCACATATATCAGTGCAGACTGTCGTACCCATTGCTGAATGGCAGGAAGTAACCTGAAGGGGGGGTCGAAAGTGTAATAGCGCCGGGAAATGGTGGTTTCATACCATTCCCAAGGGTATATTTGCGTGTAAGTAATTATAAGGAAACCCACAAGGAAATGGAACTCTGCTCGCCGATTAGTACTTCTAAGCCATTATTCCTTACGCCACCCTCACATCCAAGCTTTCAGGAAATTCCCAAGCGGTCACCCACTGACCAGTCTCGACGTTGCTTAACTTCGGTGATCGTACGGGAACCGGTGTTTCAACGTGATGCGACCGTAAGTCGAAATAATAAGAGTAAAAATGGATGTCCAACGATGTGGTTAAGTAAAATGCTTTAACAAGATCTAAAATATTTGCATGAAGTCTTACCAACGTCCTTCTTCTTTTATGTGCTGTGTACCTTAAGAACGTGGGCGATCATGGCTCTCCGCACTTTCCTATCCTTTGTAGCTCTTAGAAACGTTTGTCATTTTAATATACTTCCAATCCACACCGTTGTGTCATCAAACATATAAAATCATATATCCATGAAAAAAACAGAGATTAATATTGAGGTAAGGTGCTAATAAGCCCCGGGAGGTGGATGAACAAAATAAATTAACAAGCGGGGAATGATGTTAAATTAGCATCAGAATATCATGTCCCAAACTTGTGTTATCTGATACTAGACTAGCTAGAACAATAGTAATAAGTTCGATCCTCACTGGGTGCCCTATGTGGGCTTGTGCCAAAATAAAACTACACCTCTTGGAATTTTTTATATATATTTGTATATGTATGTATATGTATGTATTTATATATATTTAAATATATATATGTATATATATGTATATGAGGGTATATTAACCACTAATATTATCTCTCTCTCTCTCTCTCTCTCTCTCTCTCTCTCTCTCTATATATATATATATATATGTGTGTGTGTGTGTATAAGAAAAATTAAAGAATTGTGAATACTTATTTTTTTTTATTATTAAAAAGGAGATTACTTGTTTCCTTATATATATATATATATATATATATATATATATATATATATATATATATATAATATGCCTAAAAAAAAATAAATTGTAATTTATATAAAAATTAATCTGGATCAACGTATTTAATCAGATATTTATTGCTTATGCCTATATGTAACCATCAATTCATTTCTCTTGTTTAATAAGCTAGGGTTATTTAAGTGTTTTGGGCGCTAATTTTTCAACAAGGCATAATGGTATATGGTTTGTAATAACCATTATTCAAGTCTAAGGCCAGACCGAGAAAGTTGATCACTTTAGCATTGGTGGTAGTGGCAATATTTAGCTCATGATCTTTGAAAAATTTATCATCAAGAATTACTCTGTCATCTGTATAGAGTCAGTTGACGTTAATGTCGAAAATAATTCTTGGTCGCAACAATAGCAAGATTCCATCTAATTCACATGCCTCTGCTGTATCAAATGCTCAATATTAAAATCTGGGTAACTTCTTTTGATCTACAGATAACCATTATGGAATAATATAGGTTTTGTGTTACCTTTGCGATATTTATTTCGCAATCGCTAATAGGATACTAATTTTTTTTTTCTAAATTTATAGCCGACATAAGCAGATTCTCAGTGATGGACGGGTAAAAGTCACAAATATTAAATTGGATGAATGTAAATCCATTCTTCCTTTTTATATTAGTAAACTATTCTATAGCTGGTTAATTCCTAGATCATCTTTCGTGTATTTGCGGATATATACACTACAGGAGAAAAGTTTAAGGCAACCCCTGGTAATTTTTTAAATTAGCCCAAATGTAGTTTTTTTTTTTTTTTGTACTCTAAATAAGAGAAAATTATTATATATGGTTAAAAATACTGAGACATGATTTTTATTAGAAATTTTATTATGACAAAAAAAAAAAAGCATTTTATGATAAAATTTTGCTCTCGTCAAAATATCCTCCTTTAGCCTTGATTACTGCAGCACAAATTTTTGGTATTCGTTGCAAATGTTTTTTAAAGTATAGGTTTATTAATTGATTCTATTCTTTTTTTCAATAGCTCTAAGAGTTCATTTTTTTTTTTTTTACTCTTCTGTCAGGTTCATTCTAGGGGGTGGCTTCACACTTTTGAACTCTAGTGTACATACATTGGACAATAATTCTTCTTTTATAGATTTTATACATTTCGTTGAATGTATTGTCGCATAAATTATTTAATGTATGAAAGCAGCTCCTCATCTCTCTCAAACTTTATATAGTTTGAAGGCCTTTGATAATCTATTACTATTTCCATGGTAAGTGTTGTGATGGGCTACATTCATTGGTGCCACCAGCCCTGACATTTGCCACTGTGTTCCGCCATGCTGCGTGTGCAAGAACGAATCGTCCTTATTTCATTCGTATTCAACTAGTAAGGAGTAAATTCCATTCAGACATCTTCTTTCCATGAACTGTTGTTTTGTGGAAGAAACTCTCGGTAGGATGTTTTCCCGACTATTACAATCTTGACTTTTTCAAGACTAGAGTTAACCATTATTTTTCCTATATAACCACACGAACTTTCTTTGCTTCATAAAACACCACACGGTCACCTTCTGTCTTGAGTGACTCTTGGGCTTTGTACTGGATGAACATAAGTATAAAAAGTCTACATACAAAATACAGGAAAAATGGTAATTTGAAAACGCAAAATCTGAATACACGGATGTATGAAAATCTCTCAGCCAAGTTGCGACAATTTTGATTGGTTAGCAAAAAAAGAGAACCCCGGATTTATCGAAAAGATTTGTTAATGAGATGACGAATTTTACAATTATAGGAATGCATTAACAGTAATGTTCATCATAATGGTTTTCAACTACGAATATCTGCTTTAGTGAAAAGCTATTAAAATATTTTCGTTAGTCGATTCATTTAATATTAAGTAGGGCACCACGGTGTCGTGTAGTGTAGTCTCCCAGAACATTATTACCGTGATGAATTCACACCTTTATGGACTCGTCCTGTCGGCTGGGGTCAAGAATACGCCGACTGCATCATATATGCGAAAGTCCTAGCCAAGTTATAACAATTTTGCTTGTTCTAAAAGAAAAAAGAAATAGTTATCTTGATTGTATATTTAAATACTTAGTTTTTGTTAATTCTGAACCCTTTGCCCATGAACAGTACTTGTTCGAATCAATCATTTTTTTTGGGGGGGGGGGTATTTTTTGTTTTTTATGGGTTTTTTTTTCAGAAAGAGTTTATAGCAGAGGATTCCCTTTCAATCCCACCCTATTCGCATAATGAATTAGAGAAAGTTCCCCCCCCCATCAAAGCGTTTTGTAGCGATTGAGAATGGTAATAATCGGCTGGTGAAAGGTCAGAAATATAGGCAATGGAGTAGAACAGACTAACCGAGTACCAATCAAACGTTTTCCTGTGTTATTTTTGCTATATGAAACCTTGCCTTGTCTTAGTAGAGGACAACATTTTTCTTCAATTCACTGTGTACATTGCCACAGCAAATATATTCTTATTGATTAATTCGTTTTCTACGGCTTATCAACCTTTTGTAGGTTATTTAAAGCCAGAAATTATTTTTGGCTTGTAAGATTTTTTTTCTTTTTTTTTTCTTTTTTGGGATAATAATAATGCTTTAGTGATACAAGTCCTACTAATTAACCCATAGCTGGGGGTAGAAGATCTGAATTTATACCTTTCCCAAGGATATTTACGCGTAAGTGAATATATAACGAATCCAATAGGAAATGGAACTCGACTCATTCCAAACCATGAACCATTACTTCACCCGCACATTCAAGTTTACAGCGTCTCGTATTCCTAAGCAGTCACTCATATCCAGTGACCAGGCTTGACATTGCTTAACTTCTGTGGCCGTACGGGAAGCAGTGTTTCAACGTGATGTGACCGTAAACAAATTTATTTTTGATGCCCACGCATGAGTAGTTCTGCTAGTTAGGATATTATATTCAGTCAGTTATGTGTCATGCGTGATACACGCTTAGTCGATCATGTATCTTTCGATACATAACTGCAGTAGGTTTCCATTTCTTTCTGCGGTAGACCAATTGCCATCCATTTGTCTTACTATTTATCCATAGCTGGAGGGAGAAGAAGAGGATCCATATCTTTCCCAAGGGTATTAGCACGTAAGTGAATGTAACGGATTCAACTGCTATTCGAACTCGGCTCTCCGATTTCTCAATCCGTGCCGCTAACCATTTACTCTACCGCGCCTCGTGACATTACAATTGGTTCCCTAATATGGAAATTAAATTATAACAGGAGTTAATATTACGGATATTTGATTTGCTATTTTTATTGTTCTTGTATTAAAAGTCTCCGGAATAGGAATTTATGGTTTAATTTGGTCATCGCTGATTAATTAAATGCGCCTCTGATAATCTAAGCTTCTTTTGTAGATGTTCAGTAAATATGTTTAATACACATTATGTACCCTCCTCTTAGACTTGCAACAATAACTGAAATCGTTAAAATGCCTTCAGTAAAATTTAGGACTTCTGTTGGAGTCGATGTTTAGATTGTTTCTCGATAACACTTCTTTAAAGAAATTAAACGTTGGTTCTTATACAAATATTGATAGAAAAAATATCTAAAGAAGGCAACAGACTTTGTCCTGTGGTTAATTAATCTGTAACCATATCACGTAAAACTGTTAATAAATTTCATTTTTATTGTTTTCTTTGAATTTGTGGCTAGAATAGAAAGTACCATTTTTTTTTAATGTCTTCTCCCCTCAGGACGTATAGGGTCATATCTCTCCACAGCTGCCTTTACTTTAATCTCTGTGAATTGGCATGGCCTCATAAAAAAGATATTTCTGAATATCGTGTCTCTTTACGACGTTGACGATCATGAATCTTCACAGCTTCCTTTTATTTAATATCTGTAGATTGCTATAAATTCGAATGAATTACTTAATACTGCGTTCTTTCAGGACTTAAGCGATCATGGCTCTCCACATCTTACTTCTTCTTTAATACCTGTGAATTGCCACGACTTCTTGGTAAGATATTTTTGAATGTCATATCCTTTCAGAACGTAAGCGATCATGATTCTCCACTGCTTCCTTTTTTGAATATCTGGAAATTACCAAGATTTCTAGGGAAATGTATATTTAATACCATATCTCTACAGTCTTTTTTTATGTGCCGTGTCCTTTCAGGACGTAGGCGATCATGGCCCTAAACTACCCCCTATCCCTTGTGGCTCTCAACAGATTTTGTGTTTCTGCCAACTTCCCCAGACTACGTCCGCCATCCACCTTCCCAAGC